GAGCCCATGGGGAGCCCATAGTGCCCATTGGGAGGCAGCAGCTGCGGGATGGCTCATGGCTAAGCCAGGCCTGGATAACGGCAGTGACCAAACAGTGTCTGAGATTCCATCCCCCTCTGGCATTGATACCAAACACCCTCATTTGTTTCCCTGGATAAAGTGGACTCGCTCTTCTCACCTACACCTTTCCTATGCAGCTAAAAGGCCACGAGGCTCCTCTTTAAGGCTCAATGCCTGTGCCTTTAGTACCGCAACAGAACTGGTGCCTACGCGGGTGTCGGGAGCAAGCTGTGCTCTTTCTGCTTGCTCAGGCACAAAAGGGTTTCTGAGCTGCTTCAAGCCTGACCCAAAAGCTGCCCCGTGTGCTTAAGAAGAGTTAACTTCTGACTCATTTCCATGCATTTATCATGGCTGGAATGAACTGCAGGCCTTCAGTAACAAAAGGAGGAGAAGAAAGCCCATGGACTTGCCAAGATGGTCCTGCAGAGCTTACCCAGCCTAAGAGAATCAGACCCACAAAGCAGACATGCTGGGCCCCTTTCCCCCCTCCTCAGCCTCATTCCTTGTTGTTTAGGTCAGATCAACTCTGTTCCCATGGTCCTTACAAATCCCTATGGAAACGAGCTCAAACAAACACGCTGCTGGGCAGCTCCAATCCAACACTGGATCCCGACCGCCGCTGCCTCCAGCCCAGCCACGCTGGAGGCACTCACAGCCCAGCACGGCTCCAAGCACAGGGATAAGGAGGCTCCCGGGTGCTCCCGAGCATCCCGAGGCACCCCAGGACCACAGGTGGGATGGGTGGAAGTGGAGGGTGACCAAAGACCTTGTGGAGCAGAAAATGGCCCTGCATGAAGCCCAAACCTGGGCTGTGCTGAAGTGATGCTGCGGCTCCTGCTGGGAGGATGCTGGGATGTAGGATGGAGAGCACATGGGATCGAGCATCCTCAGTGTGTTTGTGTTGATACAAAGGGGAAGGAGGCAGAGAACAGGGGCAGTTGTTTCCCCCCCAGGCACTGCTGCATCCAGGGAAGGACATTGTGAGTCCCTTGATGCCACTGGAATGAGGACCACGGCTCCTGATGAGCAGGAGAGCTCAAACCCACTCCTAACCCTGGAACAGCTTAAAATCCATCACATCTGCCCGAGGAGCACCCTGTACCTCATCACTTCACCCTCCTGTTCCTGTCTCTGTGGTCCTGGGGTCAATGCCTGCATGGAAAAGCAATGAAGGACCAGTTGATGCACCAGCACCAGCTGCAGCAGAACAATTGGACACACTCAGCTCCAAGAGGAGCTGTTCCTGAGCAGATGTGGGTGCTTGCTATTAGCACAGGGGTTAACAAGAACCTCAGCAAGAACCTGGGCTTTAACACCGTGGAAACACTCAGGAACACTGCTCCCATCAGTAGGAACAAGCAGGGAAACGAGCTGGGATGGGACTCACCCTCCTGGGAATGCTGCGCTCTTTGCCTTGCTTGTTTCAGTGGCTGTGGAAAGCACGACCTAAAGTCCTGTTCCAAAGGGAAACAGCTGCTGTTACACTATGGCTGGATGAGCAGATGAAGAGCTACAGCTGCTGCTCAGCCCATGGAGCCGAGAGGATGCTGCTTCCAGGGTGGAAATGGGTAGAAAAGCCTAAAGAGAGGGGTCCTGGGGGACCCACAGCAGCTCCTGACCTCACAGGGGCTGTGGCTGACACTGGCATGGTCAATCCTGGTTCCTGCCTTCCCCGGTGGAGTTCGGGAGGTCACAGCCCAGGCTGTTTTGACTGTATCCCAGCATTCCCAAAGCACAGATACAGGAGCAGCTCCCGTATGGAGCCAGGCTGAGAACACTGGGGCTGGAGAAGAGAAGCTGCATGGAGACCTCAGAGCAGCTTCCAGTGTCTGAAGGGGGCTACAAGGATGCTGGAGAGGGGCTCTTCATCAGGGACTGTAGGGATAGGACAAGGGGTGATGGGTTCAGACTGAAACAGGGGGAGTTCAGGTTGGAGATAAGGCAGAAGTGATTTATGTGAGGGTGCCCATTGCTCAAGGCCAGGTTGGACACAGGGGCTTGGAGCAAGCTGCTCCAGTGGAAGGGGTCCCTGCCCGTGACAGGGGTTGGAGCTGGAGGAGCTTTAAGGTCCTTTCCAACCCTAAACCAAGCTGGGATTCCATGATTCACCAACACCCAACTCCCCCCGGGGTGCACAGGGATGCACAAACCTCCACCACATCCCAGAGGTGCAGGAAAAGAGAATCAGAGCTGAGCACATCCCCCTTGGGAGCAAGGATTAGCCCCCATCACGCTGAGTATCCCTGTAGTATCCCACTTACAGGGAGCCATCCCATTAAGTGTGGACACACGAAGTCCTCCTTTGTTAAGCACCACAGAAAGCAGGTACCCCTACTCCAGGGCTGTTCACCCCCGTGGCTGATAGGATGGACCCGGATGGCGGCTCCCATTCCGGTGCGGGATCGCGGCCGCAGCTCCTGCCCCGAGGGCTGTTCTGTTCTCTTTATGGCCTGTCCTTCTTGCAGGTGGACCGCATTGCTGCATCCCGAGACTGAGCATCACCTCTGCCCGAGCCACTGCCGGAGCCTCCGGGGGAAGGAGAGGGTGAGCTGCAGCACCCAAGGGTGCCACCTCCTCTGCCCGCACCAAGGGCAGCGCTGAGCGTCACTCAGGTCCCGTGTTTTGCACTGAATAAGACATAGACCCCCTCCAAGAGACAGCCCCGGGTTACTCCAGTTGCTGGTTGCGTTTTGCACTGCGGTTCTTGCTTTGGTTTTAGGTTTTAAACAATAAAAGTCTTCAAAGAGGTCTTGAGTTTTAAAGCGGGCGCCAAACCCAGAGCATCCCTGCTCCAGAGATCGGATTTGCTTGGGTGGATCCTTCCCTTCCTGGCTTCTGCAGGCCAAGAGACAAAGCCAAGCTCGTGACCCCCCCATCCCCTTCTGTTCCTGTTCAGTGATGGTTTTGAGGGCTTAAACCTTTGCTGCTTTGAGTGGAATCCCCAGCCTGTACCTGGCATGGTTTGGGTTGGAAGGGAGCTTAAAGCTCATCCAGCTCCAACCCCTGCCACAGGCAGGGACCCCTTCCACTGGAGCAGCTTGCTCCAAGCCCCTGTGTCCAACCTGGCCTTGAGCACTGCCAGGGATGGGGCAGCCACAGCTTCTCTGGGCACCCTGTGCCAGCGCCTCAGCACCCTCACAGGGAAGAGCTTCTGCCTAAGAGCTCATCTCAGTCTCCCCTCTGGCAGGTTAAAGCCATTCCCCTTGGCCTGTCCCTCCATCCCTTGTCCCAAGCCCCTCTCCAGCTTTCCTGCAGCCCCTTCAGGCCCTGGAGCTGCTCTCAGGTCTCCCCTTCACGCAGCAGAGGGGCCGGATCCCCTCCCTTATGCTCTGCGGGTGCAGCCCAGCTCATGGGGGGGCTCTGGGCTCAAGCTGGCTCATGGGGAGCTTCTCATTGACCAACCCCCCCCAAGTCCTTCTGTTCTCATGACCTTTGCTAAGCCCAGAGCGATGCCGCCAAGGGCATCCCTGCCCCTGTTCCGCTCACGATCCCTGTTGGTGCTGCCCAGTCCATGGGTTCCCTGGCACTTTGTGCCTTCCTTTCCGCCCCTCGCTTCCTGGGCTGTTTCTTATTTACTTAGTGCTGTGTTGTGGGAGTGTAGACACGTGCCCCTGTGGATGGGGCCGGTGGCCTGGGTGGTCCAGCCCTTGGCCTCACCGGTGCCTGGGGGAGCCAGATGCTTTCAGTAAGAAATCACCCCTAAGAGGTACAAAGAGAAGGGCAAACCCCGCAGCCCTCATCCCTATGGACCAGCGAGGGCCAGGATGCTCCGGCACTGCCAGCGCCACCAGGCACAAATCCCTTCTCCTCTCAGCTCATGCAATGCAGGCACTTGTGCCATTGAGCAGTTCTTCCCTAGGAGGGCGATGGGCACAAAGGACACCCTGAGGGACAGCGGAGCTGGGAGCAGAGCACAAACCCTGTGTAAGAGCGACAGCAGCGTGAGTCCGGATCCATAAATCCCATGGGAATGTGGGCAAACACCTCATGAGGCAGCAAACGGCCGCGTTCTGACTGTTAACAGGAGGGAGCTGGCATTGTAAACTGGTATCCAGTCACCTGAGCTCCAGCAGCTGTGATTTGCTTTGCTTGTCCCCATGTAAAGAGCACCTTTTAACCGAGCAGGTCCTGCTGACTCCTGTGGCTTCCCTATGAGACGCAAGCCTGGTGTCAACCAGACATCAAGCAGGATGCAGGCTGAGCTGATGTGCTGAGGAAAGAACTGGCTCCTGCTTCCCGAGGGAGCCCACAGCCTTGCGTGCCCTGCTGGGAAAGGGCAGGGTGTTGAGGCTGAACCTCTTCATGCTCTGTTAACCTCCCTTGTAGAATAAGATGCTCCAACCATGAGTTAGTGTGAGTTAAGTGCAGAAAGGACTATGAGCAAGCGTGACTGTAAGGCAAGGTGCTGAGCTCCTTGTACTCACTGTTATGCTCTGTTAAAGGGGGTGAATGTGTGAACGAGGAGGTGAGGCCCTGGGTGACAGTGAGGAGGTTGTGTCCCATCCCAGTGTAAACAGCTCCTGTGCCAGGCCTCTGGGATACTGGGAAGCACAGCACCGCGCTGCAGCTCTCCAGGATGATGGAAAGCCAGGATCAAACCCATTGACCAGGATTCTCCTGCCTCGTTCCCTTTGCCCAGGCAATGAACCACAGGGAGCCCATCACGGATCGGTGTAGTTCTTTAATAATAACATCAAGGGCAGCAAGAGTAATGACTGCATTTAACAAATGACACATGCAGCAAACAGAGGGAGCAGAGCATCATTGCACAGCGCTGGCCCAACCCACGAGCCCTGATTCCCCATCACAGCAGAGGCTTCTTTCTCCTCCTTTGCTGCACCAGCACCACATAAAGGCCACGGCACCAATTGGTTACCCTCAGACCTTGCCAGAAGCCCCCTTTCCCCAGGGGCAGGAGCTGCCTTCACACACTGAGGAGCAGAGGGTGAATTCAGTTGCCTGCCCCATTCCTGTGGGTGACCGCGTTGAGACGCAGCCAGCAGCCATCTGGAGCATTTTAGCCATTAAACCCCATGCTCTGAACCTGTCAAAGGCAGCTGCTGAGCCCTTTGAGGCTGCAGGACACCAAGGGAAGGTTTGCACGGAGGAGGAACAAGGCAGCAATCAAAGGGAGGGCTCCAGAGCAGAATGGAACAAGGGTTTATTTAATGCCATCAGACGTCTGCTTACGGCTGTCTAGACCAGCCCATGGAGGAGCAGTGAACAGGGAAGCCCTGGGAGATTGGGAGCAGATGTGGTGCCCCTCAGCTCCCTTTGATCTATAGGGAAGGTTTACTTAAGAACTGGCTAGTGAGGATTGGTAGCCTGGGTAATGTGTTTCTAGGAAGGTTTTATAGCCAGAGAATACATAGGGTACCATAGGGCGGTGTATGGCGCACCAGCTGGTTCAACCTGGGTTACATAGCATCACTCGGCAGTGGAGGCTGATTTAAAGTCAGGACCAAGTTTTAGGCTGGATCACCTTATGTTTATCTCTAAATGAATCCCTAAATCGATCCTTAGGGACCAGCATGGATCTTTAAGAGCACATGCGGTGCTCTGGGGAAGCCTTTTAAGCAGCCGCATTGAGGTTGATCCTAAACGCAAGACCAAGGGCCACCAAACGCGCTCCTGTTTTGTCTGCGAACGTTGGAAAGGATGCACCAAAAGCAGTTCACCAACGGGTTGGGTGCTCTGCTTTGGTGTCCATGCTCCGGCCACATCCCACCCTGGATCCATGGGGAAAAGCAATGCCAATGGATCAAGGGAGCGTGCAGGCAGGAGCTGTCGTGCTTCAGTTAATGCTATGTCCCACAGGCATTCGTCACTACAGGAGATATTTGTACATTGATAGAAAACAAAGCAATACAACCGTAAAGAACAAAATACAACAAGCACAGCTTGGTACAATAACGTGCCATGAAATGTCATTGGCTTCATAATAATTTACTACAACTTGAACAATGGTCTTTTTATCCGCACTCGGATAGGGAATGCTTCCATCTAACATATGGTAAGCACGCGGTAACAATATGTACAACAAAGAATTTGGAGTTTGGTGTTTCGTCGTGAGTGGGCAGTGATGATTTCCCTGGCCTCATCTGGGTTGGAGTTTGCTTCTTTGATACTGGAGGGCTTTTTTCCCTTTAGGTTGGGGAAAACGAGGATTCCTATGTACATCTGCAAGAAAGTGAGCCTTAGGAATGGATATACACTGCTATGGAGCTTCCCCCAGCAGTAGGTTTGGATTTGCTGGCGAAGTGACCCTTAAACCAAATGAAATCCCAATGCCATCCTGTTGAAAATCAATTTCCTTCCCAAACTCTTGAAACACGAGGATCTGTTCAGAGACCTATCCATTGATCCTTATCACACCATTCCCAGTTCTTACCTCTTTCTTTCTGAACCCAGATCAAGCACCTATTGAACTAGATCCCATCCATCCCAAGAGGGAGTCCAACCAAACGTGTGTCTGGGTGTTTGAAGCATCCCATTCCCATGTGCCAAGCACGAGGTTGACTTGAGCTACCTATGGGCTGTAGCTGGTGCATCTGACAACAGCGAGTAGAACTGTTGGGTTTGCTCCTGATTGGGGCTGCTCTGTGCTGCCTGCAGACAGAACAGGGTTAGGGGTGAATTAAGCAGCCTTTCTGCACAACAGCCTTGGCTGGAGGTTGCGTCTTCAGATCCAGCATCATGGATGTAGCAGATGGATGCGTTTATCCCATCTGATAGATGCCATGAGCTAGCGGTGGGGAAGGCTGGTGAATGACAGTCAGACTGGCTCCGAGTCTCACCATAAGGGGTCATTCACAAATATGAATGAATGAATGGGGACCAGAAGGGTCATTTTTTGTCTCTTCCCTTTCCTCCTTGAGTATTTTTTCCCTTTTTTTTCTTCCTAAAAAAGCTAAAATTCCTGTTTATTTCCAACAGCGCTGAAGGAAGCACTTGGCAAAGCATTTCTTTATCTGCTACAAACATACATGCTTGTGAGAACCCTTGGACATTCGTAGGACTGCAGCTACAAGGTGGGTTACCAACTTCCATGGAAAGAGTCACGTTGTGAGAACTGATCCTGACGGTCAACAGGGAGCCAGAGCTCTGGCTCGAGTGATCAAACCTACTTCTATTTGTCACAAAGGCAGGTTGTGCTATAGGAGAACAGCCACGTGAGTGTGTGCAAGCGTTGTGGAATAGGGTGGGGGGCCCGGGGAGGCGAGGAGAAAGCATGGAGAAATGCAGCCAGTGCATTCCTTGGAAGGCTGATTCCCATCCTGCACGTCCGATGGGTTGAGTTTTGCCTTAGCAACCACTGCTACTGGGAGTGATGGTGTTGGGAGCTGAGGAGAGGGAGGAAGCGCTCTGCACCTCCTTCACTACGAGGTTGGAAGGCGCCTGCTGCTTATTCCGGAAAGGAAAACCGAACCCAGCAATCCGCATGGAAACGTTGTGGTGAAAGGATGCAATTTACAGGAAAACCAAACGCATCAGTGGGAACCCCTTCAAACTGACAGCAGCAAGGAGCCCGAGCGGAATGGGTGCAGGGAGATGGATGCACCCCTTACATCAGGAACTTTCCTTCGGCAAGCAGCATTGAATGGCACCGCTGCATGGCAGAGCCCTTAACTCAGTAGCCAGTATCAGCCTAAACTGAATGCAAAGACTCTTCCTCAACCATACCTTTCCCAGATTCCCTTCCTCCGTTGCCAGGAGCTCCTCTGTCCCGCTGGGAGCGCTGGAGGCCGACCTGTTGCCAGTTATTCCTTGTCCTCAGGGGATGGGGTCCAAGCCTCGTGCCGTTCCACCTGGTGTATTTCCAATGCCATTCCCTAGTGGCGCTCCGTTCGCATTCACCTGCTCTTCCACACGCCGACATACGCGGATCCAGAGACCTACCCCTTCTCCCATCCAGACCCTCCGAGATGATGCCGCCTTCCCGTGGTCCATGGGAACAGTTCTCCTTGGATTTACCAGGTTCCTGGACTTGCAGGCCTGCTGTTGTCATCACCCGCTTGGCAGCTGGGATGGGAGCAGCTTTCTCTCATACCTTGAGTCTTGTCCCGATGCCCTTGTGCAGTAGCTACCTGGGATGGCTGCACTTGGAAGAGTCTCTTGCAGTTGTCCCCTAGGGAGAATTGGCCTTTCTGGAGAGCTTGCTGTAGTTTTCCATTCCTCTTTGTTTCCAATATGTCCTGGAATGGCCATGGGAAGCGTTGGGGACAAAGAAGGGAGAAGAGCCTTGCTGCAATGGGACTCAAGTTACTTGCCTTGTTCCTGCAGTCTCTTGGCTGCTCTTACTTGATAGTTTGGTGGCACTGATGCACAGGGGGTTTGAACAATAACAGAAATCTAAAGGACAAAGACAACCCCAAAGTCACCCCTTCCAAACCCAATCCAGCTTCCTCTACCCCCCTCCCACCCCCCCACCCCCCCAGCCAATGGATGTGGTACAGTACTGCTGAAAAAGCCCCTCGGATGCTTGTGGAAGAGATGGGAGCAAGGCTGAACCCCCCCCACTTAGACTGCAGGGCGAGGGGGGGGCCGGGATGGAGGGGGGGCCCTGTTGGGTGGGGGGGCTTGGGGGGGTGGGGGGAGTGGGGGGAGCGTGGAGGAGGGGGATGGGGTGTGTGGGGTGGGGGAGCTGGGTGGAGGGGGGGTGTAGATGGGTGCTGGGGGTGGGGGGGTGTAGATGGGTGCTGGGGGGGGGGATGACGGGGGGTACGCATTGTTGAGAGGGTATTTGGGGGGGGCCTCTGTGTTCTTCACTCTGGTGAAGTTGATGCAGCGGCCCTAAAAGGAGAGAGAAGAAAATGAGAGATCAGTGATGGAGGCAACAGCATCCCAGGTGAGAGACCTGCATCCCTGGTACCAGCTGTGCACCTTGTTCATCTCCAAAGTGGGAGATGAGTGATGGAGGCAACAGCATCCCAGGTGAGAGACCTGCATCCCTGGTACCAGCTGTGCACCTTGTTCATCTCCAAAGTGGGAGATGAGTGATGGAGGCAACAGCATCCCAGGTGAGAGACCTGCATCCCTGGTACCAGTTGTGCACCTTGTTCATCTTCAAAGTGGGAGATGAGTGATGGAGGCAACAACATCCCAGGTGAGAGACCTGCATCCCTGGTACCAGTTGTGCACCTTGTTCATCTCCAAAGTGGGAGATGAGTGATGGAGGCAACAGCATCCCAGGTGAGATACCTGCATCCCTGGTACCAGCTGTGCACCTTGTTCATCTCCAAAGTGGGAGATCAGTGATGGAGGCAACAGCATCCCAGGTGAGAGACCTGCATCCCTGGTACCAGTTGTGCACCTTGTTCATCTCCTCAGAGACGGATGTTGTAAGAGTAAATCCAAGAGGTTAAACCCCAACCACAGCTCTTATAGAGGAGGGTGAAACCTCCCATACAGTTTTCTGACCCTGGGATCCTCAAATACCTCACACTGAAGCTGCAGGAACTGGTAAGAGCCAGCTCTTGTCCTGCTCCTGCTCTTCAGAGCTGGCATCTGAGTCAGCCCGACCCAGATGCCTCTTGCCAAACCTTGGTCTTAAACACCCACCAGCATGGATCTGGACTTTGCACCTTGGGAGCCTCACTCTCCTTCAAATACCTGGTTTTTGGGTCTGATTTTGAACCATTTACCAAGCAAAAGGGGAGATTTCTTTAACTGAGTTGGGTTTCTTGCTCCATTCTTCACTAGGGTGCCTTGCTCATGGGAAGCCAATAAACTGCTGTTCTTGCTCTTTGGTGCTAAGCTACAGTTTGTTGTCCATTTTAAAACAAAACCTTTGCCCTCTGAGTTCTTTTTTCCCCTTCTAAGTTCCACCTGCAACCGATCCCACTGTAAATACCCGACTGTCAGGATCAGCACTACTGCATCGTGGCTTCATTCTTTCAGATATGAAATCATCCCATCATTCTGAGCCCAAGCTTTGCTTTTGGATCCCTCAGTGAGAGCTTATTTTCTGTTCTCCTCTTTCCTCTCCCACAGTAAATGTTTTGCCTGGTGGAAAACTGCCAAATGGAGCATCCTGTGCAGGATGGAGTAGATCTGTCGGGGTAACAACATCAGGCACGGCTCTGTACCTCCTTCCTCTGTGAAGAGGGACCCGCAGTGAGCTAAGGGAGATGCTGGTAGAAAGGAGAAGGATTTGACAGGGATGAGAGGAGCCGGCGTGGAAGGGGCTGACACATGGAGTGATGCAGGCAGCTCCTCTCTGAGAGCTCTGCCAGTCCTAGCATCACAGTGTGGATGTGAAGGAACGTCTGTGCGAGCAGCTGAGTGCAAGCAAAGGGCAGCTTAGGGAAACCAGGATCTCAGAGCTGCATCACGTTGGAGAGGAGAGCATCAGCATGGCTCAGCCCCGGCTTCCTGTCAGCAGGAAGAGCCTCTGGTTTCAACTCCAGCTCTCCTCAAGGAATCAGACTGCAGGGCAGAGCAGAGACTCACTAAAGGACAGGAATGCACCCATGGTAATGCCCTCCTTGAGGATTAACTCAGTTAAGGCTTGTCCTGACAGCAGGACAATTAAAGAGGGGAAAGGGGGAAGAGGCTTGAGCGCTGCTCGTGCACCGTGTGGTAGCGTGGGTGCAGTGGGGACACAGTCTCCATCCCTTCCATAGGACAAAATGCCAACACAAAATGAGACACCAGGGTGGGCAAATCCCTCTGCAGCATCCCAGTGCCTGGTGCTGCCCAAAGCTGGGCACCAGCTCACAGGCTGAGGGGGCCTGAAATAAATCACAGCATCCCAGACTGGTTTGGGTTGGAAGAGACCTTAAAGCTCATCCAGTCCCAATCCTTGCCATGGGCAGGGACCCCTTCCACTAGAGCAGCTTGCTCCAAGCCCCTGTGTCCAACCTGGCCTTGAGCACTGCCAGGGATGGGGCATTCACCACTTCTCTGGGCACCCCCAGAACATCCATCCATCCATCCATCCATCCATCCATCCATCCATCCATCCATCCATCCATCCATCCATCCATCTGCATCAGTGTCAGCTCCCAGTGCCCCGGGTTCTGTTCGTTCTTTGCGGTGTCTCTGCTTTAACATCATTTTAATGCACTTGGCTGTGGTTTTAAGCAAACCCTGTGGGGCAGACCTGCTGAGCGAGGGGAAGTCTGCACCAAGATGAACCAATTCCACTCAGCCCCCCTCCCCTACCCCAGGAATGTTTTCCTTGTTCCAGTGCCACGTCTCCTGCGATGCAAATTCAGGCGTTTCAGATCGTGCCTTGCACGGGGTTTGTTGCCTTTATTTATGCTGAGAATCAACTGAACCCGCACAGAAAGCAGCACTCCAGGACTCCCAGCCAGAGAACAAGAAGTTGCAATTGTTTTTGTGTGGAGGGATGCTCTGTCTGGATGCTCTGGGAGTGAGGTTATGGTGCTGCTGATCCAAATGGAACTGAGCACCGCCCTTAGAGCAGTCAAGAGGATGCAGTGAGGCTTTGAAATCACTGGGTCTGGGGCTTGGGGACTAAAAGCAGTGCCATTGCCATAAACAAGGTATTAACAATTCCTACCAGTGTATAGCTGCATGGGGTTTACACTACGGTCTGCAGTCAGCTACGACCTGGTGAGCCTCTGCTCATGAATGGCTGCTCATACCCATGGCTGATGGTAACTCCTTTTCTCCAGTAATAGGGTTGCTTTGGAATTAGAGCTCTTTTTCAGTCTCCACTTGGTAACTGCTTAAACATGGGCTTTGTGGACAAGGTTTAACAAGGAGTTGGCCTGGAATCTGAGCAGGATTAGATGCTTAGATGCAGACGAGATGACTGAAAGCACTGGAGAGCAGACATGAGAGCCAGACCTAACCCAGGGCTAGCACAGCACAGATGCCTCTTCCCCATTCCCTTGTGCATTACATGGGTCCAGCTTCAGAGTTCAAACCTTCTTCCCCTTAAACCAGGATGGAGTTGCCTTTTGCTCAGCTCAAGCATGCCATTCCCTATCTATCTCCTCCTATTTCCTTTGCTGCCTGGGTCAGCTGCTCTGCAGTGCTGGGGTTTAAAAAGAGGCACTGGAAAAGATATGGTCCTTAATGTATGGGTAATGCAAACCTTCCATAAACAACATCCTGGGATACCCTGTTGGTATGAGAAAGAAACAAGAAACCCAGGAATGAAGAGAAAGAGAAAGAAAAATGGAAAGAAAGAGACAAAAGGCTGTGATTTGGTACCTGATTCTGACTCAAATAAAAGCTTTTGGGAGGGACTGGCCAAATGAATAAGAGGCAAACATGAAATCTACTCAATACCTTCACAGTTACCACTGGTGTCTGCAAAGAGGTGATTTACAAACTGTAGCTACTTTGCAAGCAAAGCACATACATGGATGAGAGAAACCAATGCTAAACGCTCCAAGCCCTCCTTCCCAAGGATCCCGGGTGCTCGAGTTGAGCCCAGTCCAGGGATGAAGCTCCCACAAACATCTGTGAGGGTGATGATGATGAGGAGCATGGATGGAGGCAGTAACCTGGCCCTGTGCCTGTGCACAGCCTGCAAGAGCCGAGTGGCACAGAGAAACACTGCAGCAGCCAGCGTGGTGGGGATGCCCTCCCATGAAAGCGGTCCTTGCTTTGAGTGCTTCTTGTGTCCCTTTGTGCCTGGATAAAGGTGCTCCTGGGAAAGGACCAGGGTGAGAATCATCAGTATCTGCTTCCCACCAATGCGTTAGCGTTTGGGATCAGCACTGGTTGGGTCCCCAATGGGTTTTGCTGCTCTGAATCCCATCAAGGTAACCCCCCCGCATCCCAGGTGGCTTCCATGAGCTTGAGATCTCCCTGTCTGCAAGGCCTGGGCTGCTTTTAAATCACACAGGAGTGCCTGGAGACAGCACTGGGGAGCTGTAGAGTGGCTTCTGGGCTTTGTCAGCCAGGTCTCTGCGAGCTCAGTGTGCGTGGAGCATGGTGGAAAGAGCACATCACCAGTGATACAGCTACCTCCCTACCCCTGAGTCACCAAACAGCCATTCACACTGCCTCACTGCCTGACACAGCATCACTGCAACAGAACCATTCCCATCTGTGCCTCATTACACAGAGCTCATAAGCCATTCCCAAGGCATTCCTGCCACCTTGGCCATTTAATAAGTAAGAAATTGGAGGCTTGACCTGTTTTATCCCCAAAATATGAGGAAGATGTCCAGCAATGAGATCATCACTCCAACCTGGCTCTAATAACCTGGTCTGTTACCTGAAAACTATGGACTGTTATGGTTTTACCTTAAAAGAAGGCAAAACCTTGTGGAAAGTGCTGCAGGGTGATAAAGTCTGGAGCAAGATGCAGGCATTCTGTTGGGTCTCAGTGCTGGATTTGACTCTCTAATTCCCAGGAATAGAGCAGTACAAAATGGTGTTTCCTTCTGAAGCCAGTGAGGAGGTGGGATTTGCCCCAGGTAAGTGATAGCCACGTTAACCAACTTGGTGACAAGGAGTCTTGCACATGGCCACTGAGCTCCACTTATAGCAGAGGCAGTTTCCTGCAGTGCAGACAAGCATCCTAAAGCCGGAAAGGTAAAAAGAAGCAATATCCTAATGTTCTTCGATGCCTTCCTATGGGCTGGTCTGTTCAGATGTTGAAGCAAGGGGTTGTATTTGTAGTTATGTGGTCCTGTTCTAGTCAGGCAGCCCAAGAGGAAACTGAACACCATGAAGGACTGCAGCTTTAGCAGAACCTCCATAGAATCTGGAATAAGTAAGAGTTTATTTAGAGTATCAGCTCAGTCATGTTGGCTTATGACTAAAGCATTCATATACCTCTATATATATGCATGTGTGTTATATGT